TGACTCAAAATCCTGTCCATCAAGATGGAGTGTAAAGGGAATTTACACACTAGAGACAGCTCTGACAGAGCATTTGACGGACAGGATGTGTTTTGATGGTGTGGAAAGAACCTAACTGACCTCCCGCCCTCAGTGGTTACTGTTGCTAGCTCAAGCTTTACAGAACAGCCCATAGAAATGACCTGAGATTTCTGTCAATGGTGTCATTTTCAGTAAAAGTGCTAAAATTGTATTCTATATTCTTGAACAAGCCGAGTTTTAACATTGGGGAAAAAAAATGGTTACACTTCATTTCAAGGTGTCATTGTATCAGTGTAATTATACATTTAAGTACTGAGCAATATTAATTAACAACATGTACTTAGTATAGGGTTTGAGTTAGGTTTAGGGCTAGTTGCATGTCATTGTGCATAATTTACTGTTATTACTAGTGTAAGTACATGTAAAGTGTAACAAGGACAATAAAATAAAGTGTCATATATTTCTATCTGATGTTTTACTTTAATTAAATTGTTAAATTATGTAGTTACATTATTAAAACTGTGGGGATTTAATTTTTTTTTTACCTAGTACCACCTTGTAAGAGATCCAGCGAACATTACCATTACCATATTTATGCACAATTTAGTGTTCAAAACTATTCAAATGCACAGATCATCCATAAGCTGACATTAAAAAAACAAACAAACAAAACAAAACACTCTAAAAAATAATTCAGAGGATCTGTTGCCACTAATTTAATGCATTAGTTAAAAATTCCAATTTATTGAATTAAACATTTTAAGTTTTAAACATTTTTGAATGAGTTGTCCTGATATCTTAATGTTGATAATTACATCAACGTAATACTGTGTGTAACTTCAGCTTAAATATCTGTGTTAGTTTGTTTAAAACATTATTTAAGTTGTACTAACTCAATGTAATTAGCTCCATAACTTCACTTTTTCAAGTTTACGTTTCAGGTTCCCAGCATGCTTGGCATGTGACTGAATAATGTAGAAATAAACTCATATTTTATGCATTTATATTCAAGATCAGAACAGGAGAAGATTTATTAATGTTCAGTGTTCGGTTATATTAGTATTTAAACGTGTTTCTGTTATGTTGGTGGTTTTTATGAGATGACCATTGTGCTGAAGAGTAGAGCGTTTGCTTGGGTTGAGAACAGACTCACTAAGCATTGTCTTACATGCGGTTTCAATCAAAAGGCATTTGGTTGAAAATGCTAAAAGATTGGTTTCCTGGCAGCATTAAGTGTTGTTTCATCAGAAAACAATATTTTAGTAGTTTTTGTAACAAGTGTCCATGATTGAATCAAATTTAAAACAATGTGAAAAAACGACTTAGAACAACTTAGTTAGAACAACTTAATTTTTATGAGTATTCAACTTAATAATTGTTAGTTTTAACACAATTTTCTAAGTATATATATAGCGCAATATAGTTTATTAGTTGAACTTAATTTCAGAAGAAGTTGCCTTAACTAAAAAAAAAAAATATGCAAACTGTTTTGTACATTTTTTTTTGTTGCGTCCAAACAATATTTTTTAGAGTGAAAACAAAGCAAGGCAAAAAACAAAACAAAACAATGGATGGCAATAATAAGTGGTAAGTAGTAAGGTAGCATCAGAACCAGATCAGTAAACTTATAAATTTTTTTATAATCTGTATTTATTTATTTTTGCAAAGGGTCAATTTTATTTACAAAAACCTATGAATTTTATCGTTGGTTAACTGATACCTACATCAGTGTGACTTAAGCATTATTTTTGTATTATTTAAATATATATAAAAAACGTATTTATTAATATTTTGAATTATCTTAATTTTAGCTTTATTAACTTTCATTTTCATACCTTAAGTTTTAATTTTAGTTTAAGTTTTAGTCATTTTGTTGTTATTTAAAATACTTCTGTTGCTTTAATTTATTTTTATTTAACATTTAAATGTTAATAATTTTAGTCTTTCACCTTAACTTATTTATTTGCCAAGGCTACTTTTCTAATTTTCATTCAAGTTTTTCATCTTATATATATATATTGTTTTATTTTGGATTTATTTCAATTCCTGAAAAATGATTTTTAATAGTTTTAGTTAACTATAACACTGAGTTGCGGCAGAAGGTCAATTTCAGGTACCCTGCAGTGAGAAGAGAGAGAGACAGAGAGAGAGAATATGTGCAAAAATAATTTTCAATCAGAAATTGTTAGTAAATTTCACAAATAATTACAGAAAACTGCAAGTGACTCATTGAATTAAACAAAATGAAGTAGAAAGTTGAAGTAGAAAGAGTGAAAAACAAGCATTTTCTTGTAAAACGTACTCCAATAATACTTGTTCTACTTGCAACTTTGAAACAAAAAACATTTTTGTATGTGTGTGTGTGTCATGTGATTACTGTTTCTGTCCTTACTTTTGAGTAAGAGTGGAATCTGCCTGTTGAGTTTCCCATATTGACAGCACAACAGAGTTAACATCTGCTAAGAAAGCCCCCAAAAGTTTCCTGAGTAACAGACATCATTTTCAAGCAGATGGTTGCTAAAAAACTTCTCAAGAAATCCCACCTATGATCAGAAATACTGATATGTCCACGTCAACAGAAAAGGCCCAACTGAGAAGAAAGAGGACACAACTCTAAAAGTGCTGGCATGGAGCCCGGTCTAATAAAAGCAAATCTGCTGGGGGCTTTCACAGGAGCCTGGCATCACCCCTATTTCCATTCACTTAACCACTCCACTGCATTCGCAACGCATTCCTGCGGCCCAACAATAGGAGCCCAACTCAATTTCCAATGTAATTAGGCTGTGCGGAATTCCATTTGCGATCCCTGTTACGGAATAAACCTTTGCCATTTTCTATTAGAGGGAAACGGTTCCCGTTACACGTACACAGGCTTTTCATTTGTGGATCGCTAAGCTAATTTGTTTCTTTGATGCCTGTTCACATTTGGAGTCTGTGACATTGTTTGGCTCTCAAAAAAAATAAACGCTTTAGATTTCCACTGACAATGAAAGGAGACAAGCAGGGTGTGCTCAGTGTCAAGATCCCTCTATTTTGCACTTTGTTTTCCCAGAAGTCCACCCTCTTCCCCTCCTCACGCACACAGGCCCAGTGAAGCAGCAGCTGCCTGGCGGCTGACAGGAAAGTCACTATAGCGGGGGTCTGTCCTGTTTGTGACACTGACCCCCATGACTGATGACATGGCAGTGAGGTCATAAACACAACACTGTGATTTCTATCTTCCTGTCCGGCCCCAGACAGCATCCAATGCCTTTGCATTTGCTATCTTTTGGTTTTAAAACATAAAACAATCTTCAAACTTCAACCAAACCCACAACCAGGGAAGTAAACATCAGTGAATTTCTAGGAAGTTTTGGTTAAATGTAATACCATCCCATTTACAGCAAGTCTTGACAGATCAAAACAACAAAGGCACATCAAATTCAGTGTAATTCACAATCATGTAGCTAGCAGCCTAGATTACCAAATGCCAATACTCATCTTTAAACAGCAATGCATGAGCACCATAGTGCTTGTAGTTAGTAACATAATCTGTCGGATTACATAGAATAGATAGCACATTCTGTTGGCTTTTAGATTACTTTTGACGTAACCTGTAAGAAAATATTTTCCACTCTTTGTTGTCAACATCATGAATTGCAGTAAACATCACATCATGCCAAGGTTTCCTGAACTGGGGTTCCTGAAAGAACGGCATGAGGTTTGTGAGGCGATGAAAAGCTAATAATTAAATCATAAGAATGTCAAGTTAAATTAATGGTGTTTTCTCCATTTTCTGTGTAATTATAGTCACCTGACTAGTGGCTGGTGTGTGCGGTTCCATAAAACTGGAAGGTTTCTGAGTGCATATAAGCAGTAAAAAAATAAATAAATAAAATTAGGGCAAATCAATACATAATTAATAATTTACTGCCATTAATTACATATTAGGCTAAATAACATGTAATAATGTTACATATATATGTAGTTTATAATTTTTTATTTTAGACAACTAAAATACATGAATATATATAGTAATTATTAAATGAATTATTCATGTAATAAAATTCAGAACAGAACACATCAAATTCAGCAGTATACTTTTATTTATATATATATAGATATAGATATATATATAGATATATAGAATAGAGCTACTTATGTAGAGAACTGCATCCCACAATGCAATGGATTTTATTGGATAATTTCCCAAAATTATTTGTATTTTTTTATTATTACTTTTTTTTTATTACTTACTAATACGAAGTAATACCCCCAGTTTTGTTTTGAGTAGTAGGGAGTAGGTCTAAGTAAGCTAGAACATACTTTCTATTGAATGACACAATACTGCCCTCTTGTGTTTATATGCTAGAACTGAGTCGGTATTACCCATGAGTCACGGGGAGTCGATTAGTACAAATAATAAGTGTGCAATCTTAACTAAATACATTCAGAACTTATATAAAATGCCAGATTTTTATAAACACAAAATCCTCGAATAAGCGCTATAACTATAAATACTATAATAGTATTAAAAAAGACTAATGACACGAAAGCTAAAGATGAAGAATAAAGTGATCTTAGCTACACCAAATTCAACCCAATAAACCTTCTTATGATCTTGGTTTAATCAGAAAGGTCACCATTATAATAATATAATCTAAATATACTCACCATAGACATAAAAAACATGCAGTTGAACATAACAGACACATTCATCAGTTAATGTTAGGTTTAATCTGAAAACACAGTTCAAGCTCAATAAAACCCACAGGTTTTACATTTACAATATTTTAGTAACTGAAAAAAAGTTCATCCTACAGTGAAATCATATAAAAACATCTTGATAAAAGACCAAAATCATTAAATCGCATGAAAGAGACAAAATATTTTGTGCTTCCTAATGTCTAATATGTCACGAGGACCAAAAAACAAAAAAATCCTGTTTGTACTAACCCACAGGTTTTACATTTACAATATTTTAGTAACTGAAAAAAAGTTCATCCTACAGTGAAATCATATAAAAACATCTTGATAAAAGACCAAAATCATTAAATCGCATGAAAGAGACAAAATATTTTGTGCTTCCTAATGTCTAAAAATATGTCACGAGGACCAAAAAACAAAAAAAATCCTGTTTGTACTATATCACAATTTCATGTCCTTAATGGGGCATTTTCTTGCAAACATTTGTTCAATATACTGTATATACATTATTTTTGCAGTATGACATTACCAAGCATAAAAACAGAGATTGCATCATCACTAAAGTGGTAATTTACAGAGAAAAAGAAAAATACTCCCACAGCGTCAGGCTCATGTTCACAGGTGTCTCATCTGATTGCTCAGGCCACACAGAGCTCACGAGAGTCCGCTTCAAAGATGCGAAACATTTAGAAATACAGGAAAGCTGTCGGTTATTGGCACAGTTGAGGACGTACAAACCTCATCATTGATCACAAAAGCATCAATCGAGAAACCAATGCAAGCGTCAGTAGCACACAACATGGTTCTACTAAATGTTTATAGGACGACCATGCCTTTGAGAAGCAAAAGAACTCACATGGTCCAATAATAGCTGACGAACACAATCCAAGGCTCTGTTTGCTTATAGCTGTAATACACCCCTTCCCCACAAAGTGCTTGAATGTTTTCATAAAAGTCTGGGACCTCAGGAGCAACGCTGTCACATTAGCATTTGTTATCAGTCCGCATTTAAACAGCATGCAGAGCCCACACAGATCTCTGTGAGATGGAAATCAGGGCTCAACAATAAGAATGAAACACCAATGCTTTATCTATTCTTCATGAATTATGAACCTTTATCATTATGAATTTAGAGCACGTGGATCATGAAAATGCAGCATTTTTGAATGCTTTTTGTTGAGCCCTGTAATGGTAAGGATATGACCTGGACTTGGTGTCCTGAAGTTGAGATGTTGGCAGTATGAGGTGTGTGTGAAGGTGGGACCAAAGATGCCCATGATATGAGAACATTGGCACCACTTTATAAGGTCCAGAGGAGAGACGTGTTCATACTAGACTCAGTCTATAACATCAGAGAGAGGTCTCTTGAGGAGAAAGGGAGTTCACCCTGATCGGATGCTAGCCTCCTGTGTGTCTGTGCTCTCATCAAGGGGAAAATATTCTGGATGACAGCACATCACTTTTACGTCCTCTTCAGGGATGGCAAGTTTCCCCTCAACTCTGGGAATGAAAGCAATTTGTGGTACAGAAGCAACAAGGCCAGGAAATTGCGGGCTTTGAAAGTCACATTGAATTACAGCACAATTTACCGAGGCTTGCGGCTCTCTTCCATTTCTTTGAATGAAAAAACAAAACAAAAAGACAGGACACTGATGACTTTACTTCCTGCCATATTGGTGTCCCCTTTCCTGAGGACTAAACTGATCAGCAAAATTAAGGTCCAAATGTTAAGTTTACATTGTGTACACTACAATGAACTTCTCCCAGCTTCTTTCCTAGAACAGATAAGCCATGACAAATTGTGCAAGCTGGTCCCAGTGTCTCCATGTTTGAACAGTATTAGGACAAATGTAATGTTCAGATGCGATCCCAGCATCAGACTAAACAATTTTAGAGTTCTGTTGAATTCAGACTGAAAGTTCTTGGATATAAAAGCAGTTTGAGGTTGACCAGATCATCAGCGTTTGGTCAAAATCCAGGTTTGGTCAACAATCTGATGAGGTTTTCCTCAACTTCCTCTTTGTTAGGTTGGTTTGTCCAGCTCTGCTTGTCCAGGTTTTCCAGTAATGGCAGTGGATACAGCCCAGTTAAATGAGTAGTTGGTTTAATTCAGTCCATGTGTATTGAGAAGGACCCAACAAGAATTTCAATAGGTAAACATCTACAAACCATAATTTCTCACTGAAAACTCAAGCCTGTAAACGAGATGAAAAATCCAAGAATATCTTCTCCTCACAACCAGCGTATGCTACAGATTTAGGCCTGAAACATACTATACACAAGTACAAAAATGCAAAAGCTAGCTAACTCAAGCTTGATTTCATGCATTACACTGGAATCCGTAACGCAACATGTTTGCTAAAGCAAGCATGTCCATAAACTTCCACAGTCAGATTTTTATCTTTAAGGTCCATTAGTCATGAAAAAGCAACTTTTTGACGAGAAACTTGGGCTGTGTCTGAAATATAGTGCACTATTTGGTGTCCGAAACTATAGTGAACATAATCAAGTACACTCACTTCCATAATTCACCGCAACTGATGTACACTCAATGGCTAGCCTAAACAAGTGGAACCCAGTTACTGAATTCTGGGAAAATTCTCATTGCTCTCACGCTGTTCAGATTAGATCGGTTCAGTTATATTACAGTAGATGCCACTGATGTAAACGGTAGAGTCGGGATGTGGCAGTAGGTCCTGCAAATGGAGAAGGTCACATTACTTCAAATGACCAGAGGACAGAGGCTACGCAGGAATGTAGGGTTATGGGCGTTAAACCCAGTCCAGTTCTTCAGTTCTGGACCATTTCTGGACCTCTGGCAAGAGCACCACAAATGAGCAAGGGCAGCTTGGATCAACACACACAGGTCACTCAATGCATCTGTAGGTAATGAAGTTCATACTCATTACAGACGCTCACACACAAGCACTCAGGGCTGAGAGTAACCCTACTAGCTGCCTGAACTGAACCGGCCATCTGGAAATAGCACAAGAGGCCTCTGGAACATTGCTCTGACAGCAGTATTTACATGATGCAGGGACATCCTTTATCAGCTGGGTTGGAGAGCACACATCAAAGATCAACATGGCTGGATGGGTGGGCCTGGGGTGAAACCGGTCTGGGCTGTGGGAACAACATGTGGGTGAGTGGGAGCTTTAGACTGAAGGGAAAGAAGACGGTGTTCCTCTAGTTTGCGGAGGTGCTGCTGTTGGGGTCGGGCCGGGTGTTGGCCAGGTACTTGGCCCTCATGCTGGATGTGTACTGGAGAGAGAGAAACATTGAGAAATAAAAACAATATAAAAACATTTAGATTTTAGACTTATTTTCACATAAAAAGAACATGCTATAGGTAGTGCAACTAAGTGTGGACATGCATATCACAGTGGCACTGTTAATACCTGGTATTAAAAACAGATGGTCCATGATTTCATGGATGTATATTGCACTGTGCATGCACTGTAAATGACTTTCATTTCATAATTAAATTATTAGAAGTGATAAAAATATACTTAAGTATAATCTACTTATACTTATTAATTTAAAGATTAGGTAGTAATCTATATATAAAAACAGACATTAGCATGCACAACTAAGTAACCAATTATGATGCCAAAAATGTATTGAAATATCGGCTAATAAGAAAAATGCTACGGATATTGTATATTGTGCATCCCTAATGCATAATGCATGCTTTATAAATGTTTTGATTGGATTGTAATTTTCCTTCAAAGCTGTACCTTGAAAGATTTGATACCCTTGTTTTGGCATAATGAGTGTGTTAGTTAAGTTAAAATATAAAAATAATAACAACAAAAATAAATAAATAAATAAAACTAAAATAATAACTAAAATTGGGATAAAATTGAATAAAAACTATGTTGACATATTTGGGAAAAATTACACAAAAAAAACAACAGCAACAAAAAACAAACAAGCAAATTATATATAAATTATGCATATATATACACACACATACATATATACACATATAAACACATACATACATACATACATACATACATACATA